TTACGGCCCCCCTTTTGACCAACCGCAAGGCTTAAAAAAGGGTCCCAGAGACGACCGCGTCGCGCGCCCGGGATCAGCCGCCCAGACTTCGCTCTTCTGATCTGTGGCCCTTTCCCGGATGTGTCATCCAAGACTTGCATTACCAAAAAAAACCCCCCCCCCCCCCCCCCACCCTGCGACTCCAGACGAATCCTGATTGTGAGCGATTTCCTGCCAGAAAGGAGGCCTCCTAGTCTGATGACCGGCCACACACCATACAATCAGATCATACAATCGCCTTTCAGATGGTCGTACCCATGCAGATCATTCAGAGAATATTCATCAGAAAAGTCGCATGAAAATTCTGTGCACGTTCCATGAATGGACGGAGGTCTCCTGCTGCTAGGGCCGGTCCACTCCATAGAGACGCAGTGCAGAGGCATTCCCGATGCGTTTCTGAATGTGCATTTACCCCCCCCCCCCTCTCACTTTCTGCAGTTTAAATAGGGACATGTGCACTCCAGTGCGTTTTGGTGCATTTTGGTGTGTTTCCAGTGCGTTTTTGATGCTCTCCAGTTCATTCCCCCCCCCCTTTCATTTTCTGCAGCTTAAATACGGACATGTAAATACAAACATGTGCCTTCCAGTGCGTTTTTGGTGCGTTTTTGATGCTCTCCAGTTCATTCCCCCCCTCCCCCTTTCATTTTCTGCAGCTTAAATACGGGACATGTGCCTTCCAATGTGTGTTTGGTGCATTTTGGTGCGTTTTTGATGCTTTCCAGTTAATTTTTTTCCCCCTCTCCTTTTTTACAATTTAAACAGGGACATGTGCACTCCAGTGCATTTTTTGGTGCACTCCAGTGCGTTTTTGGTGCATTCCGGTGCATTTTTGGTGCATTTTGGGGTGTTCCAGTGCGTTTTTGATGCTCTCCAGTTCATTCCCCCCCCCCCCCTTTCATTTTCTGCAGTTTAAATATGGACATGTGTCTTCCAATGCGTTTTTGGTGCGTTTTTTGATGCTCTTCAGTACATTCCCCCCCCCCCCTTTCATTTCTGCAGCTTAAATACGGACACGTGCCTTTCAATGCGTTTTTGGTGCATTTTGGTGCGTTTTGATGCTTTCCAGTTAATTTTTTTCCCCTCTCCTTTTTTACAATTTAAACAGGGACATGTGCACTCCAGTGCGTTTTTTGGTGCATTCCGTGTGCATTTTTGGTGCATTTTGGGGTGTTCCAGTGCGTTTTTGATGCTCTCCAGTTCATTCCCCCCCCCCTTCATTTTCTGTAGTTTAAATACAAACATGTGCCTTCCAGTGCGTTTTTGGTGCGTTTGTGATGCTCTCCAGTTCATTCCCCCCCCCCCCACCCCCGTTTTCATTTTCTGCAGCTTAAATATGGACATGTGCCTTCCAATGCGTTCTGGTGCATTTTGGTGCGTTTTTGATGCTTTCCAGTTAATTATTTTTCCCCTCTCCTTTTTTTACAATTTAAACAGGGACATGTGCACTCCAGTGCATTTTTTTGGTGCACTCCAGTGCGTTTTTGGTGCATTCCGGTGCATTTTTGGTGCATTTTGGGGTGTTCCAGTGCGTTTTTGATGCTCTCCAGTTCATCCCCCCCTTTCATTTTCTGCAGCTTAAATACGGACACGTGCCTTCCAATGCGTTTTTGGTGCATTTTGGTGCGTTTTGATGCTTTCCAGTTAATTTTTTTCCCCTCTCCTTTTTTTACAATTTAAACAGGGACACGTGCACTCCAGTGCGTTTTTGGTGTGTTTCCGGTGCGTTTTTTGGTGCACTCCAGTGCATTTTTGGTGTTTTCCAGTGCATTTCTGGGGCATTTTAGGGTGTTCCAGTGCGTTTTTGATGCTCTCCAGTTCATTCCCCCCCCCTTTCGTTTTCTGCAGTTTAAATACACGGACATGTGCCTTCCAATGCGTTTTTTGGTGCGTTTTTTTATGCTCTCCAGTTCATTCCCCCCCCCCCCTTTCATTTTCTGTAGTTTAAATACGGACATGTGCCTTCCAATGCGTTTTTTGGTGCATTTTGGGGCGTTTTTTTTGATGCTTTCCAGTTAATTTTTTCCCCCTCTCCTTTTTTACAATTTAAACAGGGACATGTGCACTCCAGTGCGTTTTTGCTGTGTTCCAGTGCATTTTTGGTGCATTTTGGTGTGTTCCAGTGCGTTTTAGATGCTTTTCAGTTCATTTTTCCCCCCCCTCTCATTTTTCTTCAATTTAAATAGAGACATGTGCATTCCAGTGCGTTTTTTGTGCATTTTGGGGTATTTCCGTGCATTTTTGATACTTTCCGGTTCATTTTTCCCCCCTCTCATTTGTTCAATTCAAATAGGGACATGTGCATTTTTGGTGCCTTCTAGTGCGTTCCTAGTTTTTTGGTGCGTTTTGGTGCGTTCCAGTGCATTTTTTTATGCTTTCTGGTTCATTTTTCCTCCTCTCATTTTCTGCAAATTAAATAAGGACATGTGCAATCCAGTGCATTTTTGCTGCATTCCGGTGCGTTTTTGGTGCTTTCCAGTGCGTTTTTGGTGCATTTTGGTGCGTTCTAAATGCGTTTTTTTATGCTTTCCGGTTAATTTTTCCTCCTCTCATTTTCTTCAATTTAAAGAGAGACATGTGCACTCCAATGCGTTTTTGATGCTTTCCAGTTAATTTTTTTCCCCCTCTCCTTTTTTACAATTTAAATAGGGACATGTGAACTCCAGTGTGTTTTTGGTGCGTTTTTGATGCTTTCCGGTTCATTTTTCCTCCTCTCATTTTCTTAAATTGAAATAGGGACATGTGCACTCCAGTGCGCGTTTTTGATGCTTTCCGGTTTGTTTTTGGTGTTTCCAGTGTGTTTTTGGTGCATTTTGGTGCGCTCCAGTGCAATTTTGATGCTTTCCGGTTCATTTTTCCTCCTCTCATTTTCTTCAACTAAAATAGAGATGTGTGCACTCCAGTGCGTTTTTGGTGCGTTTTGGTGCATTCCAGTGCATTTTGGATGCTTTCCGGTTCATTCTTTCCCCCTCTCATTTTCTTCAATTTAAGTAAGGACCTGTGCAATTCCGGTGCCTTTTTGGTGCGTTCCAGTAAGTTTTTGGTGCATTTTGGATGCTTTCCCGATTAATTTTTCCCCTCTCGTTTTCTTTCATTTAAATAGAGACGTGTACTCCAGTGCGTTTTTGGTGCGTTTTGGTGCGTTTTTGATGCTTACCGGTTCATTTTCCCCCCCTCTCATTTTCTTCAATTGAAATAGGGACATGTGCCTTCCAGTGTGTTTTTGGTGCGTTTTGGTGCGTTCCAGCTAGTTTTTTATGCTTTTTAGTCCCATTTTTCCCCCTCATTTTCTTCAATTTATATACGGACATGTGGAGGGGCGGACTGACCATTTGGAAACTCGGGCATTGCCTGAGGGCCCAGGGTAAGTAGGGGGTCCCATGAGATGTCCCTGGTACCTTTCATAGGCTTTTTTGGGTGTGGTTTGAGCGTGGGCGCTAGGACACATGGGCCCCATGATCCCCTATTGCCCAGGGGGCCCCATCATCCCCTATTGCCCAGGGGGGCCCCCATGCTCCCCTATTGCCCAGGGGGCCCCATGATCCCCTATTGCCGGGGGGCCCCATGAGTTGTCAGTCCGCCCCTGGACATGTGCACTCTGGTGCTTCGATAATAATCGATCTGTAGTCCCGTTTGATGGATATGCCACGCCAGGGGTGGACTGACAACTCATGGGGCCCCCCGGCAATAGGGGATCATGGGGCCCCCTGGGCAATAGGGGATCATGGGGCCTCCTGGGCAATAGGGGATCATGGGGCCCCCCGGGCAATAGGGGATCATGGGACCCCCCGGGCAATAGGGGATCATGGGGCCCCCGGGCAATAGGGGATCATGGGGCCCCCGGGCAATAGGGGATCATGGGGCCCCTGTGTCTTTGCCCAAACTCAAAAAAGCCTATGAAAAAGGTACCAGGGGCATCTCATGGGGCCCCCTACTGACCCCGGGCCCTCGGGCAGTGCTGAGTTTCCAAATGGTCAGTCCGCCCCTGGGCCACGCACGGGGAAGTGGATTTGGAATAGTTGAGATATGATCATACCTTAGAATCGCACATTGTTGATCGCATCTCTGTCCCCCCCACTGTAATCTCATAATCTGATCGATCGTATCACAGGCCGGTTCACACCACAATTTCTATGTTGCAGATGCGTTTCTGCTTGAGCATTTTCATGCGTTCCAGTATGTTTTTGATGCATTCCAGTGCGTTTTTTTTCCCTCTTTTTTTCTTCATTTTAATTGAGTATTGGTGTTTCAGTGCAGTTTTTATGTGTTTCGCCACGTTCCAGATACAGCCCATGCAGAAAAATTGCAATATGTTCTGCTTTTGTTGACTGCACTGGAATGCACTGCACTGTCACGTCATCACGCTCGTTCGAGAGCAGGGCGCTGCTTCAGGCATATCTGTACTATATTATTGTGAGTATATTTCTAATAAATATTTCTAATAAATGGTGTGAACTTGTCATTGTACTATAGAGTCCACGTGTTCTTCTGTTATGAACTCGGCACAGGGATGGTGGGAACCCCTCATAATGGGCACAGCGGGTGTACAGACCCGGGAACTCAGCACAGGGATGGCGGGAACCCCTCATAATGGGCACAGTGGGTGTACAGACCCAGGAACGCAGCACAGGGATGGCGGGAACCCCTCATAATGGGCACAGCGGGTGTACAGACCCGGGAACTCAGCACAGGGATGGTGGGAACCCCTCATAATGGACACCGCGGGTGTACAGACTAGAAATGAACGAAGTGAGTGATCCAGGAGGAGAAATCAAAGTGACAAAGAGATGAGCTCATCACTGTTCTGTTTCTCCAATCACTTTCCAGCCACAAGCTGGGTGGGGTCAAGTGAGTAATGACCTGGGCTCAGAGAATGTGGCTTGAACTATGCAAGCCATCAGAATGGGGACATCTAGTGGCAAGAGAAAGGTACTGCAAGGGAAATATCTGAGCTGAAGGAGAATATTGTTACAATTGGTGGGGTTCCCAATACGTTTGGAAATATAGTGGCCATGGAGGCGATTGGAACACAGGAATCACATGATTTGGGGGGGGGTCCCAATACTTTTGGAAATATAGTGGCCATGGAGGTGATTGGAACACCTGAATCACATGATTTGGGGGGGGGGGTTCCCAATACTTTTGGAAATATAATGGCCATGGAGGGGATTGGAACACCTGAATCACATGATTTTCAGGGGGGGGGGTCCCCAATACTTTTGGAAATATAGTGGCCATGGAGGGGATTTAAATACCTAATTCACATGATTTGCGGGGGGGTCCCAATACTTTTGAAAATATAGTGGCCATGGAGGGGATTGGAACATCTGAATCACATGATTTGGGGGGTTACCAATATTTTTGGAAATATAGTGGCCATGGAGGGATTGGAACACCTGAATCACATGATTTGGGGGGTTCCCAATATGTTTGGCAGTCTAGTGTATACATAGTATATAGTCTATAGCTGCTTTACCTGAAGACCCCCATTATTTTCCTGGTCTACAATCATCAGGAGCCCTCCAACACGTGATCCTGGCCATCTTCCCCATCATGAGCCTTGCCATCTTCCCCATCATGATCCTGGCCATCTTCCCAATCATGATCCTGGCCATCTTCCCCATCATGAGCCTTGCCATCTTCCCCATCATGATCCTGGCCATCTTCCCAATCATGATCCTGGCCATCTTCCCCATCATGATCCTGGCCATCTTCCCCATCATGATCCTGGCTATCTTCCCCATCATGAGCCTTGCCATCTTCCCCATCATGATGCTGGCCATCTTCCCAATCATGATCCTGGCCATCTTCCCCATCATGATCCTGGCCATCTTCCCAATCATGATCTTGGCCATCTTCCCAATCATGATCCTGGCCATCTTCCCAATCATGAGCCTTGCCATCTTCCCCATCATGAGCCTGGCCATCTACCCCATCATGATCCTGGCCATCTTCCCAATCATGATCCTGGCCATCTTCCCCATCATGATCCTGGCCATCTTCCCATCATGATCCTGGCCATCTTCCCCTTCATGATCCTGGCCATCTTCCCCATCATGATCCTGGCCATCTTCCCAATCATGATCCTAGCCCATCATGATCCTGGCCATCTTCCCAATCATGATCCTAGCCCATCATGATCCTGGCCATCTTCCCCATCATGATCCTGGCCATCTTCCCCATCATGATCCTGGCCATCTTCCCCATCATGATCCTGGCCATCTTCCCCATCATGATCCTGGCCATCTTCCCCATCATGATCCTGGCCATCTTCCCAATCATGATCCTGACCATCTTCCCCATCATGATCCTGGCCATCTTCCCCATCCATATACTTTCCCTGTACAGTGTATGTAACACGACACTACCAGATCTGCAGAGAGGGGAGCCTGCTTATAGGATGTGGTGTCAGGTCCCCTTTGCCCTCATTTCAGCAGATGGCCTTGGCCGGAGCTAAGCAGGCCATGCATGGGTCAGATTCCGGACGATTTTTCAATCGAAAATCAAAAACATTGTTCGTTCTGTAATCCGATGGTGCCACCAATGATTCCGAAAATTGGTCGTTTTTCACAAATTCTCCAGCATGCCCAATAAATGAAATGGGGAGGAGCCACGAAAATCGGCCGTTGCCATTGCCACACTTACAGAGCGAAAATCGCTCGATTATTCCTAGGTCTGATTTTCGAACAAAAAATCGTTTGAAAATCGTCCCATGTATGGCCGGCCTTACTCTGCTTAGAAAAGCATTAAAACCCAATTAAAGCTGGAGATTAATCTGCTTACATTTTGCCTTTCCTGGCTCCTCCCCCCGCCCCCTAATTAACATGCAAATGAGATTTCTAAATAAATCCTTTCCATTATCATAACCTATCTTATTTTAGACCCGGTGATGTCATTACTGGGTCTCTGTATTTCTCTATGCAAGGCAAGCAGATCATGGCTGGAGGGGGTGTAGTAGCAGTATATATAGGAGATGTCAGTGATGGGGGATCAGATCGTGGGGGTTTGGTGTAGTAGCAGTATATGTGGGAGATGTCAGTGATGGGGGATCAGATCCTGGGGGGGGGGGTGTAGTAGCAGTATATATGGGAGATGTCAGAGGTGGGGGATCAGATGGTGTGGGGGGGGGGGTAGTAGCAGTATATATGGGAGATGTCAGTGATGGGGGGGGATCAGATCCTGGAGGGGGGTGTAGTAGCAGTATATATAGGAGATGTCAGTGGTGGGGGGATCAGATCCTGGAGGGGGGGGTAGTAACAGTAGTATATATGGGAGATGTCAGTGATGGGGGGGGGATCAGATCCTGGGGAGGGGGGGTAGTAGTAGTATATATGGGAGATGTCAGTGGTGGTGGGATCAGATCCTGGAGGGGGGGTAGTAACAGTATATATATGGGAGATGTCAGAGATGAGGGGGGATCAGATACTGGAGGGGGGGGGTAGTAGCAGTATATATGGGAGATGTCAGTGATGGGGGGGATCAGATACTGGGGGGGGTAGTAGCAGTATATATGGGGGATGTCAGAGATGAGGGGGATCAGATACTGGAGGGGGGGGTAGTAGTAGTATATATGGGAGATGTCAGTGATGGGGGATCAGATCCTGGGTGGGGAGGGGGGGGTAGTAGCAGTATATATGGGAGTTGTCAGTGATGGGGGATCAGATCCTGGGTGGGGGGGGGAGGTAGTAGTAGTATATATGGGAGATGTCAGTCAGTGATGGGGGGGGGATCAGATCCTGGGGGGGGGTGTAGTAGCAGTATATATGGGAGATGTCAGTGGTGCGGGGGATCAGATCCTGGGGGGGGGGGGTAGTAACAGTATATATGGGAGATGTCAGTGGTGGGGGGGGGATCAGATCCTGGGGGGGGGGTGTAGTAGCAGTATATATGGGAGATGTCATGGTGGGGGGGATCAGATACTGGGGGGGGGGGGGTAGGTAGCAGTATATATGGGGAGATGTCAGTAATGGGGGGGGGATCAGATCCTGGGGGGGGGGTAGTAAGTAGTATATATGGGAGATGTCAGTGATGGGGGGGACTCAGATCCTGGAGGGGGGGGGGGTAGTAGCAGTATATATGGGAGATGTCAGTAATGGGGGGGGGGGGATCAGATCCTGGGGGGGGGGGTAGTAGTAGTATATATGGGAGAGGTCAGTGGTGGGGGGGGATCAGATCCTGGAGGGGGGGTTAGTAGCAGTATATATGGGAGATGTCAGTGATAGGGGATCAGATCCTGGGTGGGGGGGGGGGGCTAGTAGCAGTATATATGGGGAAGTTGTCAGTGATGGGGGATCAGATCCTGGGGGGGGGGGGAGTAGTAGTAGTATATATGGGAGAGGGGGTGGGAGGGGTCAGTGGTGGGGGGGATCAGATCCTGGGGGGGGGTGTAGTAGCAGTATATATGGGAGATGTCAGATGTCAGATGGGGGGGGGGGGGGGGGTAGTAACAGGGGATCAGATCCTGGAGGGGGGGGGGGTAGTAGCAGTAGGTGGAGTTGTCAGTGATGGGGGATATGGGGGGGGGGAGATAGTAGTATATATGGGAGATGGTCAGTGATGGGGGGATCAGATCCTGGGGGGGGGGGGGGGTAGTAGTAGTAGTATATATGGGAGATGTCAGTGATGGGGGGGGGGATCAGATCCTGGGGGGGGGGGTAGTAGTATGGGGTAGATGTCAGTGATGGGGGATCAGATCCTGGGTGGGGGGATGGGGGGCAGTGGGAGATGTCAGATGGGGGGGATCAGATCCTGGAGGGGGGGGGCAGTATATATGGGAGATGTCAGTGATGGGGGGGGGATCAGATCCTGGGAGGGGGGGAGTGTAGTAGGGGAGATGTCAGAGATGGGGGGGATCAGATACTGGAAGGGGGGGGTAGGGGGGGGGGATGTCAGTGGGGGGATCAGATCCTGGAGGGGGGGGTAGTAGTAGCAGTATATGGGGGATCAGATCAGTGATGGGGGGGTAGTAGTATAATAGATCCCTGGGAGGGGGGGGGTAGATATAGTGGGGGATCAAGTAGTAGTGGGGGGTCATGTCCTGAGGGGGGGGATGTAGAGTACCAGGTATGATCAGTGGGATCAGATGGGGGGGGGTGGGTAGTAGTAATAGATGGGGGATCAGATCCTGGAGGGGGGGGGGTAGTAGTATAGTAGTATAGTATATATCCTGGGTGGAGGGTAGGTGATTAGTAGTAGTTCAGATGGGGATCAGCATCCTGGAGGGGGGATGGTAGGTAGTATAGATGGGGGATCAGATCAGGGGGGGGTAGTGTATGTATAGATGGGGGATCAGATCCTGGGGGGGGTAGTAGTAGTATAGATGGGGATCACTGAGGGATAGTAGGGGGGGATCAGATCCTGGAGGGGGGGTAGTATGAGTCAGATCCTATATAAGTATGGTAGATGTCAGTGATGGGGGGGATCAGATCCTGGAGGGGGGGTTAATGTAGTAGTATATATGGGGGATGGGGGGGGGGGATCAGATAGGGGGGGTGTAGTAATAGCAAGTATATATGGGGATGTCAGTGATGGGGGGGATCCCTGGAGGGCGGGGGGGTAGTATATATGGGGGTGATGTTCATAGATGGGGGGGATCAGATTTCCTGGAGGGATGGGGGGTTGTCAGTGTATATATATTGGGAATGGTGTCAGTGATCAGATCCTGGAGGGGGGGTAGTAGTAGTATAGATGGGGGATCAGATCCTGTGAGGGGGGGGTAGTATAGTATAGAATGTATCAAGATCCTGGGGGGGGGGTAGTAGTAGTATAGATGGGGGATTCAGATCCTGGGGGGGGGGGGGTAGTAGTAGTATAGATGGGGGATCAGATCCTGGGGGGGGGGGGTATGGTAGTATAGATGGGGGATCAGATCCTGGGGGGGGGGGTAGTAGTAGTATATAATGGGGGATCAGATCCTGGAGGGGGATCAGGATCCTGGGGGGGGGGTAGTAGTAGTATAGATGGGGGATCAGATCCTGGGGGGGTTAGTAGTAGTATGGGTAGAAGGGGGATCAGATCCTGGAGGGGGGGGGGATGTAGTAGTATAGATGGGGGATCAGATCCTGGAGGGGGGGGGATAGTAGTAGTAGTATAGATGGGGGATCAGATCCTGGGAGGGGGGGGTAGTAGTAGTATTATATGGGGGATGTCAGTGATGGGGGGGATCAGATCCTGGAGGGGGGGTTGTAGTAGTATATATGGGAGATGTCAGTGGGGGGGGGATCAGATCCTGGAGGGGGGGGTATAGTAGTAGTATAGATGGGGGATCAGATCCTGGAGGGGGGGTGTAGTAGTATATATGGGAGATGTCAGTGGGGGGGGGATCAGATCCTGGAGGGGGGGGGGATGTAGTAGTAGTATAGATGGGGGATCAGATCCTGGAGGGGGGGTGTAGTAGTATATATGGGAGATGTCAGTGATGGGGGGGGGATCAGATCCTCCAGCAGTCTGTGTGTCTTGCAGAGATCAGCCCCCCTAGCAGGTGAGAGAAGTAAAGCAGCAAGTCAGAGCCCGGCCAGCAGCAGGCAAGCCCCTCTTCCCCCCGCCCCCCGCATCCCCTCCTTCCAGCCTCTTGCAGCCAGCAGCCAATCAGAACCCCAGGCCGGCTCTAACGTGAAGTCATGGCTCTTCCCATATAT